CGTGGTGGCTGCTGGTGTGTATTGTTGTGCTCTCAATAGCCTTTCGTACTTTAGTTTGAGGGCGTCAAATGCTGCTTTTGGTACGAATTCGGTGTATTGGTCCTCTGGTGCCATGTAGATGATTGAAGTAATTTGCAKTAGTGGGCTGATGAAATGTTGTTGCTGCAGGATTTGAAATTATGTCCTTCGTTGAATTGGACAGTTTGATGTGTGTTCCAGCAAATTTGGTTCATGACTGCAGTAATAAAATTTAATGAAAATAGGATCAGCAGACAGGATCAAAAGTATTTGGTCCGCTCCTGGCAGGATCGCCATGTGGAGGATTGGCCCTTTGCATTCATCAAGCGGCAGGTCTGCCGTGTCGTATGGAAACAGAGAAAGRGTTAATGCGAAACACCTAACACACGATCACATCGCTCAGCCTACTGATGTGAACGCGATAAATTATATTTTTAGACAGCCCCTTTGTGAGGGCTAATCGTTAAGCTTAGTCAGCCGGAACGATTTAGTAAAGATTCAAAACACAACAGGTTTGGTTCGTGTATGCTCTGAATCTAAGTCTTTATTGAAAATATAAGGGTATTTATACATTTTGGTTTAACTGACTCTTCCATGACTCCGCCCCGTGTATTTCCAGTCAAAACCCGGAAAAGTACAAAGGCAGCCAATCAAAGTGATTGCTGACCTTGCAGAATGCATTACAATGCGACTATAYTGTTTACTCATTAGGTTGCAACACTTGTTATTTTTAGAGTGCATTGACAGTGTTGTTTGCACATATTGATTGCAACATAGAAAATATTATTATTGAATGTATTGCTACATGTGTTCCGCARTTGTCAAATATTGGAACAGCGTGTGGCAATTCGTTTCGTTTGTAATGCGAAACTCTTTTGTGTATGTCGCTTTGCTTATGCATTCTTGTGTGGTCTTTACAAATGTGACTAATTCATGAATTTGCTTATTATAATTTATGAGTACTGGTAAGTGGCATTGAGGTAGGACCACTACAATAGTATTAAAACTGAACGTTACAAGTAGTATATTTAGAGCAAAAATGCACAACCGCACGCTGCCAAGTTCGAAAATCAACTGTCTCTTGTTAGCGTCTGTGGGTTGGCTATCTCGGTCGAGTCAGGGTTGTTAAATATCGTACTTGGTACGGTTGCTATATTTAGTACTAGACCTGGTTGATCGTACGGTCGAAGTTACTCGTCCCACATCTATGAACTCTGATAAAAACTCATCTGAGTTTTYTGGTTTAGAATAGCCTTCGTACACGCCTACTAAAAGCACTTCACGATATCCAGGGACATTACACAAAATAGGCCAAACTTGTTTATTTGAACTTTTGCACAATGGTAGTCCATCAATATTAAAATCTAGTTCAATAATCTCTGAAGGGTAATMATTTACTAATAAAAAGTCTGTGAGGGCGTCTTCTATGCCATAATGACTGTAGAAACCCTCTCCCATACTGCGAGGGGTAACCTCCTTTGGGGTTTTTTTTTTAACGTTCGGCAGTCTTTAGGGACACTCACATTATGTTCTCGTAATATTTGCAACAAGTCATTTAAAGCACTATTGCAAATATTTTTTTCAATCGCCCATTTTCGTAACTTTTCTGATATATTCATTTCCTCAGTTTTACTTATTTCTTCTCTAAAATCCTCAAACTCACTTGAGCTATCACTTGACAAAAAAACACTATCATTACATTTATTAACATTGCTCGAAACACTGGGTTCACAACTTTCTTTTGAACTTTCTTTACAATGACCTTCATCGACATTTATTTTTTTAACTTTATTACTGCCGCTATATGTGCTCTCATTAATATTGCTTATTAATTTAGATGCTTCTCTTTTATTTTTCAATTTAMTAGCCTTTGCTGACAATTCACTCATTTTAATTATATTTTCAATAATATTTCAAATTAAAACACCACGAAACAAATAATTTTACTAGTTCCAAAAACAATATCGCACTTTAGCACTGACCATAAACTGCAGAAGACACAAAACCAATGAACSAGATGTCAACAACTTCTTTTTCTATTCTGTTGTTTTCATCTAATTTCATTTTGCAGTCGCTGYGACTTCAACGTCGGTGATCGCGTTCATTGCATAACGGGACAACAATCTCTAATTTAACGTCTGGAAGTGACTTAAAAGTGACGCATTTGGCGTTTGACACGTGAACGCGACAACTATCTTTATTTTATCGTACGGAAGTGACTAAAGCGTGACGTATTTGGCGTTGGCGATAAAAGACACTTCCAAATGTTGGCAGGGACATTTCTTCAAAATACAATACATGCACATTTTATATTTTAACACAAAGTACGTACTCACCAATATTAAGGGTGGGCACAGCTACTGCCTTAAATTTTTTCACGCCTAATTTTTCACATTTAATTTTATGTTAGCGTAAGCTATCATTGTAAACATTTTGAGCTCGAATAAATAAAACAACTACACTAACAAATGAAAACCAAAAATAAAATAGATAATTTTCTAACAAACATCCTTGATTTACTTACTAAAATCTCGAGGTAACCTGAAGTAAAAATATGTCGAATGAAAGTTGAAAAAAATATATATATATTTAAAAAAAAAAATAAAATAAATGATAACAGGACAATATTCAAATTTATTTTAAGACTAGATTTCTTATCTTATTTATAACGGAGTTTTATTGTAAAAACAGACCAAACTAGTTCCTTTTAATTAATATTAAAAATTTTGTATAATAATACCTAAATAAGGCTGGCGTTTCTAGTATATGCACTTGAATTTGTAAATATGTAAAAAGAAGCAAAAAATTACAAAAAAAAAAATTATTAAATAAATAAAGCAGTTATAATATACACCTATATAAGGTATATACAATATAAATACTTGTTTTATTTCGATATATTATTGGATTATACGGCTTTTTAAGGGCCCGTCAAGACGTTCAGGCATTACCGTTCCCACGACAGTCGGGTCTACGAAAACCGGAACGTACCCGGATTTTTATCCGTCCAAGGACTGTCAACTCGGCCGAATTCTGCCGTTACAACAACAACAACAACGTTCAGGCATTAAATCGAACGGTGGTTTGCAAAATGAAATATCTGCGAAGAAAGGTACGCTCACAAATTAAAAGCCTTTGAACTATAGTTCTAACGATAATTGCGCTCCTATTTCAAGGCAGTTTATTTTCTGTAGTAAGAACTGGTAGAACCGTCAAATCACCCGTTGAGGATGATTACAGCAAACCTAACCATACAGAAAATAACTGTGAACGTGGCATAATGCGAATAACTCGTGGAAAGCAACCCTGGAGTTTCGCCTTAATAGAAAGCATCTCAGCATTTATTACGATTTAAAAAACATAAGGAATGTCAATTTTGTTATTTCTTTTTTGACAGTTGGCCTGAGGTCTAGCGAAACGTCAAAAATGCAAAGGAGTAATAGGTACACAAAAATTTTCGTTGAATCCGCAATAGTGAACAAATTGTAATAAGCCTTTTGTAAACCGTAAAAAGACGAATATAGATAAATACTTTAAGAGAATTAGCAGTGGTCAACCAGCGCCATGGCGGAGCATTCGTTCCTTGGCACTTGGGAGGTGAGTAAATCAGGAGAGAATTCTTAATTCCATGCGGAAATTTATATACAATATATTTTTTCAGATCGTTTCTTGCACATTTGAGCTTAAAAAGGAAATCTCTGGTTTGGAGGGGTAAACTGTGAATTTTAAATATTAAGTAATTATTAAACTACTTCTCCTTTGTTTTTAGGATTAAATTTCGCTTAGATGATACGAATGATATAACCTGGTATAATGATTTGGTTAATCCGCTTCCTGAATCAAAAGACTGTGCCACTTGCTGCGATTCGGCGAGTGTCTTATTTAGTTGTGAAACATTCGATGTGAACGAAACGAATCCACGTTTAGTATTCGGCGCGTTTGCGGGACATAGCATAGAATTTAGGGTAATATCGTGTTTCACATAACCAAGCTTCCTAGTAAGGTTTTTGTTATACAGACTAACACTTTAATACCGACTGATACGCTAATTTTGGATTGTGAGAACTGGTATGCATTAGAATGCAAGCGACTGAAAGAGTGTCATGCAGCTGGCCAAGAGCGAGAATACTCCTTTGCAGAGGCGTTGCAAGAGTCGTACTTCACGGATGTGATCATCAAAAGCTCGGATGGTTTTGATGTAGGCAAATTCCCTGCAGTCACATTTAAGCTGCGGGCCTTATTTCGTTTGGTTCTTATTTCGCTTGGTTGAATATTAAGTTTACATTTATGTTCAAAGGTCTCTTAATTTTTGTGAGATAGTTGACTTATGTTTAAACTAATAATGTTTATATCTAACCGATTTTTTTTTAGTTCCACGTACATTCATCTGTATTACGGCTAAGTGGTTTCGACTGCAGCATGTGTGTCCAGTACAACGGCCCTGCACTCTCTCAGCATGCAAATTCTTGCAAAGCCCATGATATATCGCACCAACAGCAATATCAAAAGGCGCAGAAATGCCAAACGAGTGATGGCGTCAGTGCTAGTTTGGGGACATCAAACCCAATTAAGATCTCAGTCACACTACCCATTTCTAATGTGCAAAACTATGATGATAACCAGATGTCTTTACCGCGACTAAATATCTCTCCAATTTACCTGCAGCCACCATCTGAAAATACGAATTCTATTTGTAATAGTGGTTTAATTGCCAACCGCGGCGCACATCTGTCAAATTCCTTTAATTGTCTTACGACCAGCAATATGGGAGTGGGTCATGACAAAAATGCAGTGGGCGGTATGCGCCGTTTTCCACCAACATCAAATTCAGATTCACATCTTGAAACGCAGACCCACTGCAAAAACATATTTAATTTTTGCCAAGACTTTCTACAGCAACCGGCAGAGACAACAACTGTGTGCAACACTCGTCGTCCGCCCTTATCACCATACCGTGTACGCAGTCCTTCGCCCTTTCCTAGTTCAATGGATACACCGCCTTCTTCACCACTAACACCAGTTGCAGTACTCTACAATTTGCCAAACTTTCTACTGATACCAGTGTTGCATTGGCTGTACGCGGAATCGTTGATGCCCGATATGGATGAAAATGTGTGTGAGAAATTAATAAATTTTGCGGAGACCCAGCCATCTCTTACGAAAATGGTAGAGCCCACGAGAAAGTATCTGAAGCTCATAAAGCTGAAGAAATGTAAGATTATGTTAAATAGTTGTACGTATACATAAGTAATTGCCACATATTTACAGTTGTGGTAAACACTCTGATGGATTCGCATGCCGTGCTCAACCATATAATACAAGCAATCAATCCTGTTACGATATTACACGAACCCGCCTCCCTCTATGCGACTTTTAAAGACTGCCTGAGAGAGTCTGCAATCGGTAGCCTATTGTTGTACCTTATTTTAACATATTTACATTTGGTTCCGCTTCCTGCAGGATGTGCCAAGGTGTTGCAGTTCTGTAATATTTTCATTCGAGACGCCTCGGATATATCGCGCTACCAGAAAAACGAAATCATCAAATACGTGCGCACACGTATTCCGATTTTTATGTCGCAAATTCATCAACTCCTGCGAAATATTTTGAATGTCTTCACGAGTCTAACGGCAGAAGAAAAGGCGGAATTAGTGAATTATTTAGTACCTGAAGTAAGTTTGCAAAACTGGTATGGAAATTATAAAGTGCACACATAATAAGTAAATTCCTGTATATTCTTAGATCGAATCTGCATTAGTAATATTAACCGATGTCGTTGAGGAAATTAAAAACTCTTTGGAAAAAATGTGTAAAGTGAGTAGGCGAAATTGTTTTTTAAATAAAAATTTAGTATGAAATTTTCACTCACAGGATATCAATTGTTCACACTTGGATTTAACGGCGCGACAGCACACAGATAGCGCACTTGCCATACAAACACAAAACAATACTTTCATCAGTGCCAATGTGGGCTTAGAAGACAACGGAGCACCGTTGTTTAGTCCGCCACCCATGTCACCAAGGCCACGACGTGGCCCACCCGTGGGACTGACACTTTACGATAATCCAACAGACAAGAAACGCCTAATGACGGCGGAGAATGATTTGAAATTTGTTTTGTATATGTATGAAGTACGAAAGATGCGTGATATTTATGGGCGGATCGCCACGGCACTCGAAATTATTAGGGACAAAAAGTTAGCTCTGGACCATAACAAACAAACACCATTTAATGAGAAATTTTCTATATTTCTAGGACCTCGTTCTGCGATATGGACTTTTTAAGTAAACGGAGCACGATAAATCAAAATTTGGAACAACTGATCATAGACATACCCGCATACATTTTGATTATGGAAAATCTTTCTGATCGAGTTGACGAAAAATTGGGTTGGAAAGAATTCAAATTCTGTTTCAAACTGGCGACAAGCCAAATCGTAAGCATGTTTAAACACAATGCGAAATTCTTAATAATGAAGAACTACTTTGGTATATTTCAGAACGGCGTGATTGTTAAGCTACTCGACCACAAGTCTGCGCTACGTGACTCCATTAGCAACGTAGGTGACATAGTAAAATTCTTGAATACCGTTTTACTTTACGCTTTTGCCCACATTGCAGGTATGCAAGCGAGTGCAAAAGCACGAATTCACGGAATCTTTAATTGAACTCGGACTTTTGGAAGCTTCCAACATACTTGAGCATGAATTAAAGCTACCAGAGTTGGACAGCAACATGGATGCTGCATCTGACGATTTCGCTTTGGAACGTCGACGCTCATATGACTACAAAAATGTTAAGGTAAACGTTTTCTGGAGTTATCTCTTTGAATATATTGCATTCGAAATGTTCTACTTACTCATGTAGCTGAATCTAACGAAACATCTGTGTGAGCCGCCCATTGCCGCCAATAGCAATTTATCGAAGAACGCTTTGCGTCTGCTGCACTCAGCCCAACTGGCGGACATGGAATTTGAGGTGCACACCTATGCCGAAAGTAGCGCTCAGTTGCCTGGCATATCGATTTTGAACAAGGACAGCTTTGAAGTGATCCAATCGCCACATCCGGTGCAACTACAGCGGCCACCAATTCAAGTGCACACGTTTCGCGCGCATAGAGTGATTGTTTCAGCGCGTTGCGAGTGGTTCAAAAAGGCGCTACTCTCCGGCATGCAGGAGAGCATCAAGAGGCAAGTATATCTAACGCATATAAATGCCCATGTTGTCTAGATGAGAGGGGCGCTAATGGATGGGGTTACTCATTGCAGAAAAATCATCATAACTGACACTTCGCCCGTGATCTTTCGCCGCTTGTTGCTCTACATCTATGGCGCACCTATTGATAAAACGGTAGGAGCCGAGCAAATTTGCGAATTAATGCTCCTTGCTGATCGTTATTCAATTTGCGACTTGAAGGTAATAAAAACCAATAGCAAAAACTCGTAAAACAAATAATATTTTTCAATTGCTAGGAGCTGTGCGAGAATACACTGAACTCGCTGGTTGACGAAGAATCGGTGCTTTGCTTGTTGGGCATTGCGGATCGCTACATGGCCACCGCTTTGAAGTCGAATTGCCTATCGTTCCTATCACAGCATGCGAATGTCACAAAGCAGGAAATGTTCAAGGAGTTACCACAGACTTTACAGGTAAAATCGGTGAATTTTGTTCGATTCGAAGTCTTTAATATTCATGCTATCCCCTTGCACAGTTGGAGGTCATGGATTTGGTGCATTGGTATGGACGTGTTTCTGAGCCCTGGAGTGATGGCTTCAAGTCGCGTAGCAGCTCGCGTCACAGCTTAAAGAGCCCTTCAAAGCCGCGTTCAAGATCTCGGAAATCCTCACCTTCTTATATATGACGCTGACCGCGCAGCTCTATGTCGTAAAAACAAAAACAATTTTTGCTGTTAAAGAGGTGTTTTAATTATGCATCCCAAGAGCAAACAAACAGAAATAATGATAAGTTGTGACTCGTTAAGTTAAAAAAATTATTTATCTGCATTTTATGGGCTACCTAGTAATGCTGCAAGTGCATGCAAAACAAACAATTTCTCAATGTAATCATACCTAAACATTGGATTGGACACAACTCCAATGCTACTTAATACGTGGTGTACTCTTCAAATTGCTGTTCGCATATTCTTGCTGATGTTAGCGGTACTTGTAGTTAGGTGTAATTCAAAAGGCTATTGTGTTGTGTTACAGATTTTCGAAATGTTAACGTATTTATAACTAGCATAGTCTACTTTTTAAACTATATAGTGAAGCTATGGTACTGATACATATCCTTGTTGCGTACTTGTACATTTGTTAAATATTATATTCTCTGAGTGAACTTTTATCTCTGTTGAAATTAAGTATTGTAAGCGGTTGGTTTAGACAAATTTACCATTTTGAAATGTTTAGATAACGTGTGGTAAGTGTAAAAGAAATTTATAGTGAATTTTGAGGGGAACAAACATATTTTTATTATGCATAAATAAACTCGTATTTACATGTATTTTCTAGTTGTAATCAAAATATGTATTAATTAAGTATGATTAGCGAATATTTTCGAAGAAAAGGCGGTAACTGGATCTCCAAGGAATTCCGAGAAAACTCTTAGCTGCAAATGATTTCCGGCAATTTCAATGTACAAGTAATTATCATGCAAGTGGATAATATTCACTTAATATGTTTATTGTTGTCTTTTAATCCTTTGAATAAACAAAATATACTGTTTATTTAAAATGTATCTTTGTTTTTTTTCTTGGATAACGACAAAAATCCCAATATTAAAAATATAACCTCACTCCTTTCACAGCTGATAAATTTGATGATCTAGGGTGGATAGTTCATGAAAAATGTTCTGCTTTCTCCAGAATGGAGAAGACAGCGAAGCAAATGGGTCTGGTGGTGAACGAGGGAAAGATGACATACCTCATGTGATCTAACAAACAATCGTCACACTCGCGACTAGGCTCCCACGTCACTGTTGACAGAGTCCGTTGTGATATACGTGACTGCGAAGGCCTAGCCTCACAGCGCTTTCTATTGCTAGAAGCACGTAGATCAATACAATGCGTTGATCAGTGCCCCAAAGCATAAATGCATGCAGCACTCATACCATGGAGAACCAAAGTATGAATGCATTCTGCCCCTATACCTTGTTTCCAATTGGTTTGTGTGAATAGGCACACCCTAGCCGCCTTGGTCGAGTTCGAGGCCGACCTAAAATCTCTGCCGTACTCTGGGTCCGGCACCCGGCCGCAATGCGACTCCACATTGGACAAATGCCCTGACTGCATTTAGATTTATACCACAGCCACCACGAATCTCCACAAACGGCCAAACCCAACGAGCAGATTGGAGTTACCTCCAAGGGCTAACTGCTCCCCGTGGTACCAGGTTATAGTCTTTGGTGTGACTTTGTCGCTTGAACGACAAATGCCTTATATTATGTGATATAATATGAAGCTTAGAATGTGACTTCAAGCTGAATATTATTGCACTATTCTGACTTAGACCATGCTGACATTTAAAAACAAGACCTGTAATGTTAGACACAGTATATGTGGATTTTAGTCGCCTCTTACGACAGGCACACCTTACCAAGGGTATATTCCTCCCCCGCCCCCTACCCGCAGGGGGGTCACTGTAGACAGTCATAACGTCGAAGTTGTGGATAATTTCGTCTAAGTTAGAACCAGCATCAACACCAACAACAATGTCAGCCTGGAAATCCAACGTATATCCACCAACTCTTGTCAACAGGTGCTACTTCGGACTGAGTAGGCAATTGAGCAGCAAAGTCCTCTCTCGACGAACAAAAACCAAACTCTATAAGTCACTCATAACTCCCGTCCTGCTATATGGTGCAGAGGCATGGACGATGTCAACAATTGATGAGTCGACGCTGAGAGTTTTCGTGAGAAAAGTCCTGCGAAAGATTTATATCCCTTTGCGCGATGGCCACGGCGAATATCGCATTCGATGGAACCATGTGCTGTATGAGATAAATGACGACATTGACATAGTTGAGCGAATTAAAAGACAGCGGTTACTGATGCGCACTGGTTTATTAAACCTGCGAGAATAAGTTTCGGTTTAACAAGCGTTAGTAGGATCTTCGGGTCGTACCGATCTTGGCCGGATTAAATCGGAATGTCGGATGATATCAATGACAGCTAACAACTTAACGCTTTTACACAAGCGGGATCTGAAAACTCTTTACAACAACAACAACTACAACATATTTGTGTCGTGTCAAACCCACCATTTTCAATAAACGAACGGATGTGCATATATACGAATACAGATGCATACACATGTCTTAGGTCCTGTCTCTTATACACATCTAACAACAACAACTACAACATATTTGTGTCGTGTCAAACCCACCATTTTCAATAAACGAACGGATGTGCATATATACGAATACAGATGCATACACATGTCTTAGGTCTGTCTACTTTGCTAAGTATACCACATTTTACCTAAATCTAAACCCAGTAGTAAAAGTTTGAAGTAACAGAAAATTAGCCATAATACCCTTCACATATACAAAAGATTTCTTACAAGAACTTTGATTGGCTAGTTTGTACTACAGCTATTTGCTATGGTGGTGCAATATTGGCCGTTCCGACAAATGACAAATGATATATATCTCAAAAACTGATAGACTAGTTCGTAATTTCACAGACGGACGTGCAGACATCAACTTAGCTCGGCGCGCTGATCTTTTATATTAAGGGGTTACATGTGTGTCGAAAAATAAATTTTTTTGTCTTATTAAATTCTAAAGCATCTCTAGAATATTGTTCTAAATTTTCAAGTTGTCCGAGTAATTGTTTCGGAGATACAGCCTTGAGAACTTGTGCGCTGAATGCGCCGTCTTTAAACGTGTTTTTTTCGAAACTGTGCTTTTGAAGTCGGTTGGCAAGATTTCTCGAAAAGTGCTCTCTTCATGAAAATTTACACAAGTCTTAGAGATACAATTCTTAAAGACTCGGACTTGGAAAAACTTAATATTGTATACCCTACTAAGCATACAAAAATATGGTGAGAATTTGTAACTCCTTTACTTAGGGAGCGGCAGTCAGTGCTCGCCTTCATAAAATACCCAATACATCCTTATGTAAATACCCTTTAAAATTTTCAAGTCATTTAAAAAAAACGCCAAAATCGGTCGAAAAGTGAATTGTGCGTCTTCAGCGCTGAAACATTTTTACTGCGGGGTTCGTCCTTGCCCATTGTACATACACATATGTTATAAGCCTGTGCCTATGCATGCAATCACCTGCTCGGGCTTTTGTGCTTAGCTCTTGGGACGGTGGTGGTCGGTTCCACTTCACTGTGTTGCCAGCATTTCCCGTGTGTTGCACCTTCAGTGTTCGTTTGTTCGTCCGTTTTGTTGTTGATTATCTCGCTTGATGATACTTATTGTTGTTTGAGGTGGCTGTTGTTGCATGAGTGTTTGTTGATGCTGTTATGTTGGCTTGTTGTTGAACGCAAACCTACATGCGACCCCAAAAGGGAGTTGACCGCGAAAGTGGATGATCGATTTCCAATATATTTTAAAGGATGGGAACCGACCATGGAAAGGAATTAAAAAATATAAATGCCTTAGTTTTTTGAATAAATGATTACTACTCGAAGAGCAAGGAGAAATAAGAAAATTTGTAACAATATTTAATTCCTACTGGGCATCTACATTCCCAGAGACATGCTCTTGTTTTCTCTGTTTTTTGTGAAAGTATTGTTTTCTTTCTGATGACTGATACTTATCCATTATTTCCACTTCATCGTGAATTGAGGGTAATACGTGCTTTCAGACAACTTTATTATTTCATACATATTTCGCTTTTCTGTTGTACTTGGCGCAGTATGCATTAAATTTTAGTCGCAGGGCTAGTGGTTGTTGCAGTTAAGTGTTAGCGCTTTCACAAAAGAATGGAGCGCATGCCATCAGAGTAAATTTAACACCTTGGGGAAAGCTTAACTGAGGGTTACCCCAAAAGTATCGGTCCCTCAAAGATTCTATAGAGGAAGTTCGACAAAGGCTACTTAAGTGGCTAATGACTTCCGTTAAAAGAAAAACTAATAGACGACGAAGGCTGTGTAATAATCCCTGGTAACCCAAAGGCATATTCTAATAAACTAAGTGTTTAAAATAAAGTGAGCCTCTTGCCTTGAAGCAATATATAAGTAGGCATTTTTTGTTATTCTTTTAACTCATAGGCATTTAAAATTATTGACATTTCCGTGATTTTTAATACAGTTTGTTTCTGCTCCGTAAAGGTCCGACCGATGGGAATGTAGACGCTACGTCAAACTGTGCCACTCCGAACCCTATCCAAAGGAATAACGCAATTGAATTCTTATCTTCTATCTATCCAACACCCTGTTCAATAAGTTTTACGAGTATTCACTTGTGTGCGTGCTAATTAAGGAACGTCAAATGTCGATATTCGTCACGAACTCTTGAGCTGAATATACCATTATAAAGTTAATATATATATTTTAACTCTGCAAGCCAATGCCATACGAGAGCGCTAAAGATTCAGTTGTAAGAGTTCATACAACAACGAATTGACAAAACTTGAAGAAACTTATTTATTGTGATCATCAACCCTTTCGGATCATATGATTAATGAGTGAAAATGCTTTCAATATATTAGCGTAGCGATGGATTGGTAATTCAAGATTTCGGATGAAACCATCTTCAACATCTCACTATGATAAAGCGTTATTATAGTCCCCTTCTGAGTTATAAACCTTTCGAACGTTACGTGACGAAACCAGGCATATACACATAATCCAGTATTGTAAAAAAATTATGAAACAAATTAAAGTCAAAAAGAAAAACGTTTTCCATACAAAAACTCAACTAGTTTGTATGATAGCTACACATTTATATTCTATAAAGGGCTGATCTGAAAATTTTGTTCGAAGTTTGTGCCGTTGCCTTGAATAATAATGCATACGAAGTTTCGTGAAGATATCACTCTAATAAAAAATTTTTCCTTACAAAAACTTGGTATTGGTCGCTCAGTTTGTATGACGGCTAAATGTTTTAATGAGCTGATATCCGAGGTTCCGACAAATGAGCAGCTTTCAAAAGCTAAGCGACAGCTCTTGTATATTCAGGCGGAGAGACGAACATGGCAATATCAATTCAATTCGTCATGCTGATCACTTAAATACATGCGTACATACTATATATTTTATGGGTTATCCGAAGGTTACTCCTGACAAACTTTCCTCAAACTACCCGTTCGAAATGCAAACATACTGCAATTTTTTTTTTTTTTAATTTTTAAGATATACGGTACGTATGTACTTACGATCGCATCTGTTGGTGAAATTTAATTGTTTATAAATTGTTTACGACACAGAGTTCATACCTTGCAAAGGTAAACAATATAAAAATAGCGGAAAACTCCGAATTGGGCAGGCCTGCATAATTTTGACATTCACCGCGACGGCGCGATGGAGGTGTAAACGGCAGAAGCAGAAGTAATAAAACACAAACGAGAAGATACTGAAAACGAGCGAAATTGCCGAATTGCGTTGATAAACAAACCGTGAAAGTGGGAACTCTCGTGATATGACACACACACACATAGGTGAAGAGACGCAGTACTCAAAAGTGCTTCTGCAGCCAACAACTTTGTAATGCAACTTTGTAGGGACGCTTGCGATTGTGGGTGCTCTACACACGCATATGCACACATCCACCCTGTTGGGCATGTGTAAGTGGACGCATAGTGTTTGTCGTCCGAAGGCCGCTGGCAGCGCTGGAAGCAAGAGCGGAGAGAAAGCTGAGCAACCGCCCTAAATGAAAGCGACGCCATAGCAATTCTCTAGCTGGATCTTACTCTCCAGTTTTCTTTTGCTAGCCTTCCAGTCACATTTAGCACTTTCGCGATAGATACAAAATACCTATGTGTGTATATGTATGTGCGGATAAATAAATAATATGTATGTGTGCAGCTGCATGTCATACAAATTTTCGCCACCAGAGCGGAAAAGCCCCAGAGAACACTGGAATGCGGTGTATACAAATTTACGAGAGAGCCACATCCGAACAGACCAGCGACGGTCGGGCGCTTTAGCGAAGTTGACGATAGCGCCAAAGAGGAAAATATAAATTTTCCAACTCAGCAGACAAGGCTCTGACTTTCGTTCGTGCGGCGGACGTCCTTGTCCTGCGTCGTGTGTGCCGTGAGTGGACGCCTTGATGTTGTACAAGGAAAAACTAGCCAAGCAGCAAATAAAAGTTGCAGTATTTTCTAAATAATAATTTCCAAAAATCGAATCGTAAAAAGAAGAATTCTAATATACAAAAAGTGCTAAAAGTACGATAAAATGAAAACTATGTGAAAGGTGAGAAAAGTGCTGGGCCAATGAAGTCGTGAAAAAACGTCGAATTTTGCAGCCCAGCGTTCAGCTTGTGGGTGAGGGCAACAGAGGCGGCGGCTGGCGYGGCAGCAGCGCGCTTACTGCAGAGAATCGACGAGTTTCTTTTGCCTCTGCTTCGCCGTTTCACTGTTTCGKGTTTGTTTGTATTATGGGATGTGTGAAAATACGTGCATTAATAAGAAATCGCGAAAATACACTGGGCAGGCAGACAAAGTGTGGCACAAAAAACAAAGTCTATAAATACGTAAACAAAACGTGAAATAAATGTTTTGAAGCATGAAGGTGAATTTTCTAACGCCTTTGAGGGATTTTCAGTGAGTTTTAGATTTTTGTGGAAATGTGCCTTAGACCTACATGGTGGACGGTGTCAAGGGCGAAGGCGAGGCGAAGTTAGCAAAGTAAATGGTCGACCGTTGTGACTGCAGACGCTACGTCGATCTGTGCCACTCCGAACTCTATCCAAATGTATAACGCAAATGAAATCGTATCTTGTTGAAATGATGTGGATATGCGAAATCTACCCAAAACTCTATTCAATACGTTTTATTCACTTGTGCGCGAGTGTATGCGTGCTAATTAAGTCACGGCTAATGCTTAAATGTTTTTGCTTCCCACATCAGCATAATTTCTCAAAAAATGTTAGTGCGAGCAAGCAAAACTCTCTACATCCATGATCTGCAAAGCTTTGTAGATGAAATGTGCATACATGCCGTGAAGTTATGTTGCTCACACTCTATTTGCTTACTTTGTGTAGTTGTCTGCGCCCGCTGCCGCGCGGACTGCCACAACCGAGGTTGAGGCATTCGGCAAGGTCGAATTCCTAATTTTTTCATTTGCTCAAAAGTTTGCGCATTTCATTCAGATGAAGTGCAAACACAGTCGTGGGAGCTTCCTTTACACTAAGGCCCGCGAGTGCTCTGGGACTTGTTGTTGTGTTTTAAAAGTCATCGAAAGTCTGTTAATATACTGGCCACTTCGGGTGTTTCTCAACACTGAAAACACATTGTTTTATCATCCCAGAGTCAAAGCCACCCAAGGCGCTTCTGGTTTCCAATACAACTTTTGCATTTGCTGTACTAACGCAGAATAGGATGCCGACATTTCCGTTTAATTTGGCCTAATCTTTAAGGGATTTATCTCCTTGCAAAGGGCCGCCATTATTGAACAAAAATCATCCGTATTCCGGTTATGAATTAAGTGGATTAATTTATCTTAATACTTTCCGACTTGGCTAATGACCAAAATTTGACAAGCTCATGTATTATCGGCTACCCTAATCAGCCACATTTCTCAATTTTTTTGCAATTACAGTTAACGCTCTCACGCACTTATTCACCAAAACGGTCTCTCTCACTTTTAACTTTCCAGGCAGCTTCGTAACTTTTGATGGTGAACGCTTTACGACAGCACAAAAATAAAAGTAGTTTCTCCTGCGGGGTCGCAGTCTTCCTCTACTCTACGTCAAGTATTTTCCTCTAATGTTTCAATATTTTTTTTTTTTTGCAATATCTGAAGTTACCAAGTGTATCTAGAAATGTTGAGATTTTATTTTGTAGTGAGTACGTAGGTATGCACATTAACGATACTTACTATGTGTGTGAGTGCGTTGGCGCTCTTCCAAGAAACCGGACACTTCGTTTGTCCCATATGCCGTCTGGAACCGTTTGTTGTTTGCTGCTCGTTGTGATTTCGAATTCGATTTCGGCTTCAGTGTCATTTTAATTCACTTCATTCATTCAATTGTTAGTCTGGCGATCGTTGTTGTTGTGCTCTCACCCCCGCTACAAGGCTGAGTGCTGGTCCGAGTGCCATTGCTTGGCAGCTGGTCGCCGGACGCAGTCGACAGTTCGCCAATGTACGTCCGTCCGTTCACAAATCGCGCAGAACTTGATTTCAGCAGCGGTGTAACGTGAACGCGTCCACGGTGCATTTAAATTGTGTTACCGTTATTTCTCAAGTGATTTTAAACAGTTCGTCCTGGTGGATCTTTTAAAAAAAAAAAGCTTTTTCTTCGTCGATATGTGTGTGTATCTTCTCATTAATCACCAGCATCCTTTCGTGGGTGACAATAAAAGCCCAAACCAAACTAGTGTGCCATGTGCATGTGTGTACGTATGTATAACGCGTTCGAAGAAGTTTCAATAAAAATAATAAGGTTTTGCTGAAATGGAGAGTTGCCTTTGTCGGCCGAATCCATCAATGAAAATCTCAGCGATTGTGTGACTAAAGGCAACAAAAATAAATAATTTTTGTGAAAAGTTTTCCGAAAGCATAGCAAAACAGATTCTTGAAAACAGATAAAAAAAGTGAGATAATCTGTAAATACAAGGCGTTCGGTACACAAGGCTTAGGGCTTATACCAAGAAAAAATACTCTAAAAATCTTAAAAGAAGTGTTAGAAAGCCAGCCTTCTTTTTGTGGTTTTTGATAATTCGTAATAAGATCTAGTAAAATGGAATAAAAAAAGTTGAAGTGTTTTATGTTATATTTATATATAGTACATATATTGCGCTTGATCGCTAAAGAAATCAAACGAAAATATTTAGTAGTATCGCTTTGAAGACAGGCAAAACAAAAGCAAATACCACTCTCATTACAGTTTGGGGGTTTGAAAAAATAGGGACCAAGTTTGAATTTTCATCAAAAAATGTTCACAGCATCAAGTCCCTTCAAGCACTTCAAATATTCACGTTTCATGTTTCTTACAATCTTTATATTTAACTTATATTATCAATCGGATATTTTCGGACAAGCTCTATAGGGGATACTCATACGACTTTTTTCCGAATATGTCTAAAACGAGATGTCTTTGCTTTTCTTTACTTTTGTTTACAACTTCGTTTATTCGTTAATTTTTTTCCTAACTTATATTAAAATTCTTTAATTGTAAAGACAAGTATTTTTAATTTCAAGGAAAAGTAGACTTCAACTACAATGTAATTTCATTTTCAATAATGCGAACATTTCAACCGCTCTGTTAATTTTGTTCTTGAATTAGAAATTATTAAGTGATTAACCATCGAAAGACTCTGGAAGAAGCTACTAACTTTTGAATACACTACGCTGACCAACGCATTCTACTAGAACTGAGAAGTAGTGGACTAGTGCAAAAATCAATTCGACGAAGAATAGTGTTGCGAATGAAGACTGCAGTCGTGTCGATTGGGAGAGCTACTTTTAGGTGAATTAATGTTGACTAGATACTCAAGCATAAACATAAACATTTTCGTCTAAATTACATTCTTGGAAGCCTAAGTTACATTCGACTAATAACGTTTGATTGATCGATGAAATAGTTTATTATCTACACACAGGGTTCGTCCGGAAAGTAATAGGGCTGAGTTAAAAACTTTCAAAATAGGCACCGCCAGCATTGATCAGCGCTGCCAGCGCGTTTTCTAAGCATTGAATTCGTCACAGAAGGCATTCTCCGGAATATTCTTGAGAGCGGAGGCGCATTGAGTTTAAAATTTTACGCAAACGAGTTACATTGTCGGTGTTCGTCGAAGTCGGAGATTTCCCAGCACGGTCGTCATCAGCGATCTCTCCCGGCCCTCCTCCCTGCTTAAGCAACATCTGGGTAAGCCTGCTTGATCATATCAAACGTCTCCGTTGCAGATTTGCCATGTTTCACACAGAATTTAATCGCGTACCTCTGGTCTAATGAACGCTGCATTTTCGGCTTGCACCACTCACAGAAACACGTCGCGCGAAAATGTTTGTCCTGACTTTTCAGTCGGTGCGCGCACACTTTGAAGTACAGTCGCGGCGAACGAAAATCAGTCCTATTACTTTCTGGATAAACCTTGTATATTCTGAAGCCAATCACTCTCGCTTAGCTCCAGTTTCCACACATTTTCGCGTTCATATAGTTCTTCCTGGTGCTAATCCCGAATTTTCGTTCAGCATTCGGTTACCACACTTGTCGATGTCAATGTCTGTATGTATGTTTGCATTGTTCGTAGTTTCGACTGAGCACCTGCAAAAGTTGCCCGTCGCGTCTTCTTTGTTGCTTTGGTTGGTACTAGCTGTACTTGTCTTGATTTATTCATGATTTGCCTTTCACTTTATTTTTGCCTTTGAATTATTTAAGATAATAAAGTTTTCAAGACAAATTATTTACATTAACGCCAACCGTCGGCCGTCCAATGGCTCTGCCGGATACATTTGTATCGCCAAGCCGCTCAGACCGATGGGACTCGCTGAACCCCGTAGGCAAAGCCAGCTGCCAGCATCAGACGTTTCCACGTTTCCTTCAGATGCGCACAGCTGAGTGTGTGTATGCCATGTGTGCTGCAAGAAGTAATAAGAAACAACAACGAATGTAGTCTATTTGAACAAATAGAAATGGAATATAAGTAGACACTGATCAAAGAAACTCGTGACTTCGTGTAAATGTTCGCAGCCGAAATCTCCACAAGACTTTTTCCATTTGTGGTTGCTCTGTGGTCCTTCGATGGAACATTGGTTTAATGCCAGGGTCTTTATCAATAACTGTATTATCTACCGAAATTATGCGCCTCAACGGTGTCAAAGCCAAATTGCCCTAACAATCATAACGCTTGGCAACCAATACACTCAAATGATGAATTAAAGTAAATAAACTTGGTGAAATTATGGCAAAAATTTCCTCAGTGACTGCTGTTAGCAACTTAGGAACGCAAAAGTTTCGTAATGTGTCCGTTGCACGCCTAGAACTGCTAAAATGGTCAAAGCGGTGGAATTGAAAATTCCCGCAGTTTCACATATAGATGGCGCCACTAGAGTTAAATCCCTAATAGTTTTAAAAAGCCGCGTGCATAAATCTGTCGCATTGTTTGTTTGTGAATTACTATATATTTTGAGTGAAGCAGTTTTTTTTTATTGTGAAAGTAATTTCAAAAGTTATTAAATTTTGCTTTTTGAAGGGAAAAAACACAGTTCAAGCAAACACTTGGCTTGACGAGAAGTTTTCGGACACTGCTCGAAGAAAATGGACTATCAAGGTTTGGTCCAGACGTCGAAGACAGTGAACGCAGTGAACGACTAAAAGAGGTTGTTTGCGATAAAAACATCCAAAAAGTCCACAAAATAATTTTGAATTACTGTAAAGTAAAGCTGATGATGGTAGCGGGTACTCTAAAAATATCTGTTGAAAGTCATCTTTGACGAATATTTGTGTAGAGTTGGTGAGAAAATTTTGTGAAAAGTGGGTGCCAAGCGAGCTCGCTTTTGACCAAAAACAACGGCTAGTTGATTATTCAGCGACAGTCATCGTTGCTCACTGCACACGATGAACCAGCTCCAATGCATGGAAAAAAGCAAAAGTCGGCTGGCAAGGCTATAGCGTCTGTATTTTGGTTGCGCATGGAATAATATTGATTACTACCTTGGAAAAAGAGGGCAATCAACAGCGACTAGTATATAGCATTATTGGACTGTTTAAAGGACGAAGGAAAAGAAGTTTCCAATTGCTTTCGCAGCTATAGTAATTTCCAACAAATATTTTCTTTTCTCAGATCTGAAAAAATGCTCGCTGCGAAGATGTTGTTTTTGAAAAGTTGACTGCCGAAACTGAGGTCTATTTTGAAGCGAAGAACAAATCGTACAACAAAAATGATATCAAAAAGTTAGCGGGTCATTATAATCGCTGTATCATCTTCGAAGTGAACTATGTTCAAGAATTGAAGAAATAGTTATGTACATCATTTGATTTTCTATAGTTGTTGGAAAATCGGCATACAGTTTTCATAAGTCAAAATGTAGCGCATCCAATGTCATTAAAGACACCGGCCTGCAAAGATATTTCTCTTCTTTTGAGAACTGACTTTCAGCATGGAATGCGTTGGCGACTGTGCTTTTTGGAAAGGTGTGCTCCCTTTTTATCAGAAAGCCCTAGTGTAATGACGACCTTTGATTTATCTATAATTATACACAAATTATGTTCCTAGAATCCGAAAAAAATTACATATAATTTCTGCACAACAAAATGAAATGAAATATGGAATATGGATTTCTTACAAGGCAAGTTGGCCCCGCAAAAACTTTGCACCTCCTCAAAGGTCTTTAGAATTCACTTCATTTTATACATGTACATTGCTGTAGTATACGGATATATAGATAGATAGATAAATAACTGAGGAATGCATTGCGACCTTAGGTCTATTGTGCCCTCTCCTAACTCACAGGGACTCGCTTAGCCCCAGCATATTGACGAAGTCCAGTATTCTGCTGGGTGCTAGCGAGGCGATGTGATCCCTATCCGGAAACTTTTAACACAATTATTTATAGTGAAAATTTTATTTACTAATAAAAGCGAAAACGTTTTTGTCGGTGTAAGAATCCAAGGGATTGTAATTCAGGTTTAATTTTCAACATGTTCATGCAAGTAAATTTCATAGGAAAAAATAATGAAAAGCTGCTTTCTAAATGTCTGGTTACCAGCCTTTCTGGTTAGTTAATAGAGTTGTCCGCTTAATAGATTGTACTTAATAAGCAGCAACAAATTGTGGGTCCGGCCAATGTGCATGGTTAATGGAGATGTCCGCTTAATAAAGCCTTCGCAGTACCCTTAATTTATGAATTGTTTTTATTATCCTATCTTCTAAGTTGTTTGAAACTGGACACAATATGCATAATTTTTCTAAAACCGGTTCAGTGGTTTAGGAGTCCATCGCGGACAAACAACATGACATGTAATTTTTATATACATATAATGATATGAGAAAGTTTGTGTGTTAGCTAGCAGCTTCAAAGCCCACTTCAGGGAATCAATTTAGTTGCTTTACATTTCATTGGTGAATATTTTGGTAGAAATATATTACCTACTTCCACTTACAAATTTATATATTTTGTACTTCCGAATTAAATTTGAGGCATCTTGATAAAACTTTGTACAAGTTCTTCTTGGCATGCAAAAAGTAAGTTATATGGGCGAAATAGGACCACAGGTACACCCAAGAACAACGTGTGGCATCATGGTTTTGAAACCTATTGGTCTCTTATAACTTATCCATGGACTAACTGGGCATTTTGTTTTGGAAAAAAGTATGTTTAATGTAAATATAAACTAAAATAAAACTATGTGGAAACTTTGCAGAAATGTTTAATTTAAATGAGTGGGATGCAGCGGTTATATACTCAGGCTTCTTCACCAGTTGAAATGATTTAGTGCGAATAATGAATAAAATCGCCTTGGGCTCTTTGGGTTTGTGTCATGTATCCAATGTAATGTAATATTTTTTTTCTTTCCGGTTAACTGTTTACTGCACACATACATAAATTTCGCGAGCAGAATTGAAGAAGCGACGAGGCGTATGAGTAACCTAATAAAAACAATCCAAATGAAAATAAACCATAAATTTTGTTTTAAGGTGATAAGTGAGTATTAACATTTTTTCATTTTAATAGTTTTTAAAATTTTTTTTGTAAAGGAGAAAGTACAAAGCATAAATAGCTCAGACATTAAAGGTGAATTGCTAATAAAGTGATAAAAAACGATGAAGTGATAAAAGGAGCAACACGCGGCCACAAATAAAAATCAAAATAAAACGGAAATATAAGTTCAAAAATAAGCGCTTGCGAGCGGTTCATTCGGGTATTTAGAGTTGAGCACGGCCCTTCGAGCAATTTGAAATCGCACAACTGTTAAGAGTTTGAGTTTGAGTTTGATACAACAATACACATAATCAACAACTAAAACAACAACCATAAAGTTTATATAAAAGAGCAGCAATAGTAGAGGTGTTGACTGTGTTAGTCCGAGGCACGGTACTGAAAGGCAACCGGGTAAGGCGCGGTAGAAGCATTAAAATTGTCGCACAATCAAACACAAGCAAATTAATTAAAAACGCAAAACGGGGCAGCAGTTGATGGTGTGAAAATTAAAGGCCTCGGAAATTCGTTTTGTTTCTTCGCACAAACTCGAACGAACTCGAACTTTGTAGACTAACAATTGGCGTGGACGCCAACCGGAGACGCTGTGTAGTTGACTGCATTGCGAAAAGTAAGGACACACGTGGAGCGTGTGGAGTAGGTTAGCGCTGGCCACTTGTGTGTGCTTGTGTATGTGTCTTAAGACGAGAATTCGGTGATAAATATTTCGGGAGCCATTGCGATACGCATACGAACCGTTGTCACGCAAGCGCTGCAGTCGGGTTTAGTCGGCAGCCGCGCTATTTTTAATTAAGCGAAGCAAATAGAGCTGCAGTGAAGCAGTAAACAAGCAACAATAACAACGTTACAGCCCTTTTAGCGCCGGCCACACGTCATCCTCACCTGAAACATAACTTTTGCCGCTCTTCAACATATTTGACTCTTGTGTGCGTGTGTGGGTTCGTGTTTATTGGCACTTACACTTGTGCCTTGCTGTGTACAATTCCTCACCAGTGTGCCAACGGTTGCGTTAAATATTCAGCACTTACTTGCTTGTTGAAAAAGTTCCAGCTCTAGGCAAACTAAGATCACCGAGAGAACCTGGCTTGGAAGTGGCCAGAAATACTGTGACTTCGTTGACACGTGCCGTGGGCCTAAGGTAAGTCCACTTACTGCCTTGTATATCATTTCTTTTGATTTTTAATTGAAGAAAGAGAAATTGTTCATTCTGGAAGCATTTGAAGACTTATTGATAATTCTTGAAAGCCTTTATATCATAACTGTGGTTGCGAACCAAAGGTGTAGCTTACTTATTTTTCTTCTTTTTCTTAAACACAGCGTCAATAACAATTTTCTGCCCATTAAATTGCTCTTATTCCCGAGAAAACATCTTTCCACGTGACCTTATTCAATAAGCAGCCATGGCCATAAATGTGAAATGCGAGAATGAAAATGGAAAATGTGAGATGTGAATGCCGCCCATCCAGATGAATAATCGCTGCATAGGTTGACAAAGAATTTCCTTCTGTAATTATTAAATACAAAGAATGTGAAATAACAGAATAACTGAAACGCAATAATAATACGAGCTTTCAGCGCACGCAGAAGACAAAGCAAAAACAAAAACAATGATGCAAAAAAGAGGAATAAAAAAGCATTCCAATCCAATACAATTCAATTGTTGCATACTGCGCGGCGCTGCTGCTCCTGATGTGATTGCTGCCTTCGTTCCCAATGACAAATGCATTTACTGCGCCATTTGGTATTCACAAGCGCCCTTAGCCGCCGCTCACTACCTGGTATTCGCATTTCATGCTATTGCATGCTCGCATGCACAATGGACTGGCCGCATACGTCTGGCTGTGCGCCCGTCCGTCCGTGTCAGACTGTCTTTCAGCGCTGGTCGATCGGTTAAGCCTGTGTGCGGCATGTTGCTGCCGGCCCATTGTGCCCGTTGTTGCAGCTGTTGTTGTTGTAGCACTGCGGGCAGGACCCGTCGCCGTGACCGCACCGCTGCGCACTTTTTTATTGCGGTCACATTGGCAACAGTTGTTGTTTGATTAGGCATTGCAATTGTTGCTGCAGTTATTGAATTACTCAAGCACTTAAGCGCATGCATGCATATATGCTCATGCCATGTGAAAGAGTGGAAAAAGTAGAGAGCAGGCAAGGATTTTCCATCTATTATTAGCTCAAAAGGAGGAAATCAATTCCACACAACAAAAGTCATATTAAGTATTAAGTTCAATTACAGAAAATTATGCTGATCTGTTGAGAAAATAGTCGAATTCAACATCTGTTTAAATTAATTTATAATTAATTGTCTGCAGAAGTTCTTCAAGAGAAACGTACAAAAAACAAAATAATTAAACATTCCAACAGCCCATGCATGCTTTAAATGCTCTATATGGAGCGAATCCCACAGTAGAGCGAGTTTTCATTCGAGCATTAGCGAGAAACGCTTGCAAGAGCACGAACATGCCGAATTGCTTGCACAGAAGACTCACTGAATGTCTACAACTTCTGCTTTTATACGTGAGAAAACTCTAAAATGTATTTCATGGGCCTTTAGTCGCGCCGTTGCTGCCAAATACCTTTCTTAAATTTTTTTTTTATTTACCATTCGCAAGCATTACTGAGTGTGAGTGTATGGGTGTATGGTCGATATACATATATACAATTGTGTGAGTATTTATTTCAATGCTTTTTCCGCTTGATAATAATTGCTCCGTGCTGAAGTACATATAATGGGTGATCCTTTTCGAGGAACTCTACTTTTCTAAAGAAAAACTAGAGAAACTTCAAATTTACTGCGGAATATTTATTATCATTCTAAAGATCGTTTTTTGGCATTTTTGCAGAAGATCTTTCAGCTGTTGGCTGCGGTTGCGTCTCAGAAGTTCCATTCGTTGAGTTTAATTTTCGATGACTCGCTCGAGCATTTCGACTGGTAACAGGCGAATGATATGCGTAATGTTTCGCTCTAAGGCCTGTATGGTAGCGAGATTGTCCGCATAGGCTTTAGACTTCACACATCCCCACAGGCTAACGGTTTGAGATCACACGATCAATAAATCCAAGATGCGAAGTGTGGGAAGTGGCGTCGTCTTGTTAACAGCAAACAGTTGCTGAGATCACAAGCTTCAATTTCAAGCATAAAATGGTTATGGTGACGCTATAACGGTCTTCATTGATGGTTACGTACTCAGCGGCATCATCTTTTGAAAAAATATGTATGATTCCGCACAAAAACCGTTGTTTTTCTGGATGAAATGACAGCTCTTGAATCTTTTCAGATTGCTTCTGGAACGAAGACAATTTTGCTTGTTTGTACACCCATTGAGCCAGAAATGCGCCTCATCGCTTAATAAAAGTTGGCTCGAAAATATCGTAACTTTTCAAGAGGCCATATAGCGAAGCGGCATTGCTTGGGAAGGTCGAGCAGCTTCAGTTCTTACATAAGCTGTATTTGGTATGCGCCAAGTCGTTCCATACGTCAGCCCGAGTTGCTGCGAACGGCGCCGAATCGACTTCCCACGGTCTCCATGTACACTCCGTCCGCTGTAGCTAAGGCTGTTATATTTTATTCACTGTGATCTATTATCCAATAATGAATGCTGGGTCTCAAGATGGGTCATGGTGTTGCGAATAGTACGCTCAGTAGGCGGAGTATGTTGAACATAAGTTGAGCGAAGCGCGCGAAACACATTCTTTACAGATCGTGAATTTTCGTAATAAAAGACAAACAATACTTGGATCACCCGTTATATTTACTTTGTTGTCTGGGCTTTTTCAATGGCGGCATCGGTTGAAGAAAATCTATAAAACGGTAGAATAAATATTGACAGCTAACGGAATTGACGAAACGGCGCTGTCGTTTCCTAAGATAAATGAAAAATATATTTTGATTCGCGCAGAAATCGTAGGGGCTGATTGTGCAGCAACTAAAACTTAAAATAAATCGCTGCTATTTTAAAGACATTATCAGGATGTTGGGAGAGGTTTACCACTCCACGATTTATGCAGAAAATGCGGAAAATTTCCATAAATCTGTCTGAAATTTTAATATGTTTCCTATCATACTATCACGGTCCATATTTTAAGCAGCGTTAGAGGGAGAAATATTATTCTAAAAGTTTATAACTCTGTACTCAATGAAATTCCTTCTCTATTCGATGATTAAAAAATTAATATTTTTGAGTGAAACTGAGATATTACTTCAATAGTAAGCAGAATTATTGCTCAGAATAGTGTAGAGGTTAGGACTAGAGAGTTTCAAAGTGTTTCTTTTCATTGAGAAGTAAACCTCGAGGAATGCAAGGTGTGTGAATGACTTAAGAAGCATAATTCAAACTTATAACTGTAAGTCTGTTTCCTAAATTTCGTAAAGGCTTTTAAGCTTTTAAGCAATACCACCTGTCACAAATGAAGACTTTATTTATTTCTTCTGTAGAAACCAAATTCTCTATAATGTCCTTGTCTTTGCCTTCAATAGTAATAGCTGATAGAGCAATTACACACAGAGCAATCAAATTGGGCAGAGAAAAGCTTTATTTATGCTGAACAGATTTCAATAAATTTCCACGAAATCACGCGCATGGTTGTGTGTAAATGTAGCCAATTGCCAAGGCAAAAGGAAGCCCACATGTTCTATCAAAAGCATAGATGAACATGTGCGAGTTTCACTTACGAGTTCGTAGGATTTTATGTGGGCATTTTTGCAAATTCACTTTACGATTTTGTTTATTTGCTTTAATTTAATTCACTACATAGCCAACTTGCTATTTGTTATTTTCTTAGACCATTTCGCACAGATGAACGTGTTCAGGCACTAATAGTGTGCTTGTGTGTTTGTAGGTATGTGCTCAGCCAACCACGAGTACATCACATATGCCCAAGCAAGTTGTTTATTTGTAGACGCCAGACGGTTCGGTGTCTCAACCGCTTGCCGTGCGTCACGCACTCGAACAACATTACAAGGAGCACATAAAACGAAATGAGGGAACGTGTATGCAATGAGTCATGTAGTCATCTAAATATCTACATTGGCATTAAAAGAGGCTTCCATTTGGTTATGCGCCAAGGAACGCAGACCTATCTTTCAAGCGCGAAAGAAGCGAAAAATTTTAAGCGAATATTAGTGCAGTAATCGGTAAAATTACGATAACTTCCAAAAGCGTTCCTTAACTGTAATGTAAGCATTTCAATGAAACTCTTTAAAAAATGGGAACATTATATGTAGCCGCTATTTTTGCTATGGATTCATTGCTTTGAGGCAGCACAATTTTTTAAAACGTAATTAAAACCAGCAAGGAAGTGCTAAGTTTGGGTGGAACTGAACATTTCATACTCTTGCAACTTGCAAGAATCAAAACCAGAGAAATACCTGAAGGCGCTAAACGTCAACCTGAGGATCAGACTCCGAGCAATTATACAAACTGTTGAACTTCCCTAACTATAATCACCATAAACCACAAAACAAACGTCGACGAAATTTGAATGAAATTTGACTTTTATTGCTAATTTAAGAGTTCGAGTTATGGAAGATCAACTATTACATATATATAAATATACAGTGGCGGAAATTGAAATCCGGACAGTTAAAAAGCCATAGGTTTTCTTATTTTCTTCAGCCAAGCATCTAAGATTTTGATGTTTAATATTGTGTGTGCTTATTATATTTCTAAATATAATAAATATATAAACTTTTTTCTTTTATTAAAACGAGATTTTCGTACTTTAGAAGGGAATAATAAATGTTTACATAAATTTAATGCTAATTCTTTTAAAAAATGTTGTTTTAATTGTCAGGTAGAGTGAATATTAGACACCCCAAAAATCTTAAAACTAATATTTTGTTGAGCCTCCTTTGCTTTTTATAACAGCTTTAACGGCATTGAATTTATCAAATTCCTCAATGTTTGTGCTGTGTTTTCATTTTACTAGACATCCGCATGAAAGAAAATTATATCTACTTTTTTAGCACGATGACATGGTGTAGAGTCATCCTGGAAGATGAGATTGTTTTTTTTAGCGAAAAGTGCTCTTTAGTTGAAGGTGTTATATATTCCTTCAGTATTTGCTGGTACTGAATTGCGTTTACTGTTCTATCTATTAGAATCAGTCTTCCTAGTCCATGGTAAGAAAAGTTTAACCAAA